CCCCCCCCTCCCTTTTTTTTGAAAAAGGAAAAAAACGGTTTTTTCCGTTTAACCCCTAATCCCCATTGGAAAAAATTTTCCCCCCCTTTTTTTGTGGGAAAGGGCCCTGGGGGAGGCCTTCAAAAGGACAACCCAAAGGGGGCCCCCCGCCCCCCCCCCCCCCCCCCCGCCCCCCTCATGTGCAAATGTTCCAGCCGTCCGTCCCCCCAACCGTGCCGACCTTGCTTGTGCTACAACAAATGTACCTGTCTGCCCACCTGCTCCTCTGCCTCACCTTGGCTGTATCCAGTGCACACGAACTACATATTCGGTCAGAGGGTGTGAGGTTTGTTTCTAACGGCGGAAGGAAGCCGTAGAAGGATATGCAAGAATCCAGACAGTGGCCAAAATGGAGAAGATCACCACCTCCAACTCCCGTTGACGGGATTGATGGGATCCCGCTTGCGGATATACGTCCCAGAGGTTAGTGGGACCTGGAATGTACAAAATGGCCAGCGTGTTGGTTGGCACTTGTCTGTTGCTTTGCTTCAAATCATGGTCATGTTGGTGGAAGATCCTCCATGTATGGAAGGGGTTCAACAAACTGGTACAGGTTAGTCGTACAGACTAAAGCTTCTTGCTTGCAGTGGTATAGTACAGCTGTAGCAGTGCAGTAGTCTACACGCGAAGCTCCCGGCGCGGAGGAGTAGACCATCTGTACAGCAGTTGGTTGGCAGGTACAGCAGCAGTATCTCCTACATACACAGTCTAAAAAGGTACTACGGCACCCCATCGTGTACAGGTTACATTTGCATCCGTTGGTCACTACTCTCGTGAGTCGTGCGTCTAAATAGACTCGACACTGGGCGCGGACAAAGGAGACAAGCCCTATACTAGGACCTCCGCTGACTGTGATTCAACATACGGCATTGTTCCATGTAGAATGCCGCGCTCTTGGCTATGGCACTCAGGCTAGCCCGCAGAGCAGTTGACACTAAGGAAAGCTATGACTTCGGTACTGTGAGCCCAGACTGCTTGCAATATCACAACCATCAAATTACGCCGCATACCAACACCGACACGCGTTTCGACCTCTTCTTGTTTCCGCTTTCTCCCACGGGCCTGCAGGTGCCGTCGGCAACGGGACGCTCGTGACCGCGCACCCAGCACCACGGGATCCCCACCCACCTCCAGCCGAAGGCGGTGGTAGAGGCCCTACTCCCGCTTCAATCACCACTGCTTCCTCCACAAATGGACAAAATGATGCTGAAACAGACCGCTTGCCATCCGCCCTCTCCTCCCCCTCCTCCTCCTCCTCCTGTTCCTCCTCGTCCGCATCCAAAGGCCTCTCCCCTACCCCGTCACCGTCTCCGCATCAAAGCGACCGCAACAACTCCTATTACCCGAGCAACGACGATGGTATGCCCCTCTCAACGATGGCAAAGAAGCCTCCGCCACCACCCCCTACCCCCCAGGACGAGGACCTTCAACCCGTACCCCCTGCTCTAGGAGCAATATCGGTAGACCGTCCACAAACAGAGAGCGAACAGCAGCCGCAGTCGCAGCCAATGAGGTGGCGACAATCTATGGATCAAGGCCGAAGCTTTGGACTGGGAGGAGGAGTAGGAGCACCTGCGGCTGCTGCGGCAAGTAAGACGGGGGAGTACATGCGGGGGATGGCAGCCGAGGCACGCGCCTGGAGCGCCAGAGCGCTCTCTGGGGCTGCGAGTGTTGACAATAGTGGCAGTAGCTGGACCCGAGGCGATCCTGTCGATCCCGTGACCATGTTGCTGCCGGACTCTGCTTTCGGGGAGCGGGTGGGAGGGCCCTCAGGAAGAGGGCCGTTGCTGCGAAGACTTCAGACTACTGTGTATGGTAAGACATTCCTGGGTAGGGCATGCTGCAACGACTTGAAATTCAGCGTTGATCGCGTCTGGGATCGGTGCACAGGTCATTCTGTAGATGAAGCTTGGCGGTACTTGAGAGGAGAAGGGCTAGAAATATTAGCCATTCAGGTCGAGCGAGTCGTCGCATGCCTCGCAATACGGGAAGGACCCCCCCCCCCCGGCAATATGCAAGTCTCTCCGTCTGCCCTCTTCGAAAGCCTTATTGATTCCGGTCGTTTGCTCCCCTCCCCTCGAACTCTACTTTGTGTGCCCGCCGAAATCCGACCAGGCATGCTCGATGACTTCGTGGTGGTAACTATCTCTCGTCCGGGGCCTCTGTATGTGCGCCTCAAACCTGATTCTCGAGGCCTCGTGATCGTTAACAACTTCGACGTGGTACCTGACGATCCACACACTAGCTGCCCACGACTGGGACCCCTTGAGAGTGTGGGCACGGTGATTCCTGGAGACGCGTTGGTGAGTTTTATGTGCCTGTTGGCACGGGTGGTTGTAGTGGGTGGTGGCAGCTGCTTCTCTGTGTCCACGATTTGTGTTGACATTTATGTTAGTGTTGGGGTAGTATCGCACGGTTTTTCTGGCGCTCACCCCCCTCTTCGGCTTCGATCTGCTCCTGCTTCATTTGCAGGCCTCTGTTAATCGAGAGGTGCTGTTGGGACGCCCGTTTTCGGAGTGCGTCAGGTGCATCAAAGAGGCATCCTCAAGTAAGTTGCAAAATTTGTAGTGACCATCGATAGCTAACTGAACGCTGTAGTTCCTGTACGTTTATGAACTTCGTTGTAGTCATTGAAATCAACTTATCGCGGGTTCTGCACTCGCCTTTCAGGTGCGACGGCAGCTCGCCCGTGCGTGCTGTGCTTCCGGAGAGCGGATCCGGAGTGCTTGGGAGCAAACCTTGGATCGCCTCCCAGAAAACTTGAGCAGGTGCGGGTGGTCTTTGACGATGGATCCTCACGTGGCATGTCAACTACTGGTTTGAATCGGATATTGCGATACCGTTGTCGGATGAAGGGAGTATTTATCCCGCGAAAGTACATCGATTCGGTTGCTACATACATACCTTTCCTTCCGATTCATGTACGGACGCGGGCGGTAGCACTGCCGTTCAAGCACCGGAAGTTGATTACACGTCGGTCCGTTCTCTTTGTACCTCATAATACAATATGTGCGCGGACCTCGAACCGCTCAGGAGAAATTCCGATCCTTGGAACGGCTGTTGGAAGGAGGTGAAGGAGGCGTGATGGATGAAGCGAAGCTTCGGGGGATTACATCAACGGGTGTGCCCGACCATGGGGGGTTGCGACCGGTTTTGTGGAGAATCCTTCTCCGGTGTCTTCCTCCCAATCGGCCTCAGTGGTCAGCGCACTTGGAAACGCAGCGGGTGCTGTACGCGCGGTTTGTCGACGATCTAGTCTTAAAACCGGCGAAGATCGTTACACAAGGTGGTGCCGACAGTCGAAGCGAGGAGACGAGCACAGCAGTACAAGCGACAACGAGCGCCAATCGGGATGGCGACAAGGCAAGCAGCGCCGCTGAGCGATTAGTAGACGCTTCGAGTGGCCGAGGGGTGCCGCATTCGCATGGGAAGTCTGGAGGAAGCAACGAAGAAGCTTCAAGTTGCACGACGTTGGAGAAATCTCCTCGGGGGGGAAAGGGGGGCGATGATCCCGTCCTCGAGGGACAGAATAGTGAGCAAGACGTTGCTAAAGTCGAAGTAATTGAGCAAAACAGGATTCCCTCAGCGACGAAGCCGAGCCTCCAGCCTGGCGTTAGCGAACACTTTCCAGGCGAGCTGTGCCTGAATCGCAAGTTAACCAAGGGACCGGTGGACGATGACCCTCTGAGTAACAAAGACACAAGCGAGTGGGCCGCGCTTTGGTCTGACAAGGAGTTGATGCAAGCCATCGATCAGGACGTAGTTCGCACAATGCCAGACCTTGCCTTCTACGCCTGCCGGAGTATCGAAGACAACGATAGCGACATGGTTGGCAGTAGCGCTAGTGGTGAAGGTGGCAGCGGTGACAGCTCGGAGGGCGAGCGGCGGCGACGAGGGCAAGAGAGGCGAGAGGCACTCGCCCGTATTCTGTTCGTGCACGCCAAGCTGAACCCCGCCGAGAGCTACACTCAGGGTATGAACGAGATCGTGGCCACCCTATACTTTGTTTTGGCCAGCGACGAGAACGAAGAATGGAATCGACATTGCGAAGCAGATACCTTCTTTTGCTTCACCAACCTCATGTCGGAGATCCGGGATGTCTTTTTGGCCTCCATGGACGAAAGCGAGAGTGGCCTCCACGGGAAAATGGAGGCTTTCTCGCGGACTCTTCGGCAACACGATCCGGAGCTCGCAGAACACATGGTGAGCGTGTGAACCTAGGCTTGTGCCGCCGACCTTTTTCGTTTAGTTGGCATGAAGGCATTGGTGCGCATCGTACGCTGCAAGCACATTGTGCAAGTGTTAATGGGATTTGGAGGTAGACATGTGAGCGTGCTTGACCATGGTTATTTGGCGTTGTCAGATGCTATGACTTGACGTCATACAAGATTTGGGATTTATGCCGAAGCATGTGCCCTTCTGTTCAGTGTGCGTACGATCATGTGATCGTGTGTGTTTGGGATCTGTGTGAGTTGGCTTGGGAAATCATTAATCAAGAGAAGAGAACAACGGAAAGCAGCAATAACGTGGACCTGTAGATTTCCACACAGCTTTTGGTTGATTGATTCTGCAGGAAGCGGTCAAATTCCACTTCACAAGCTGTGCACCATTCATTCTTTTTTCGGGTGAAAGAACGCAAGCTACGGTTTTCTTTTGTTGGCAGTTGACCTCGAGTTGATCGCATCGTCGCTCCCGGCTGACATGTTGGAATGCGATATCATTGTTCTGGGAGGAAAATTTCGCTGGTACTTGCTTTTGTAGGAAGAGCGCGTGGCTTCAGTATATATAATACGGATGTTTGACCGTCATGCCCATTTCTCTCTATACTTCGTGTGCCCGACACCGGAAGTGTGCGCCGAGGTTGACTGCTTGGCTTGCCCCTTTGGCGTAACGAAACCATGTCCTGATCGCGTGTCATTTCATCGCTGTGCGAAAATTCAACTGCAGGTGAGCCTGGCGTTGGACCCTCGCTACTTTGCGCTCAGGTGGTTCACCACCCTTCTCAGCCGAGAGTTCGATCTTCCAGATACCATCCGGCTGTGGGATTCGTTGTTCGCTGCCCAAGACCGCTCGACCTTCCTCGTGTTCGTGTTCGTCACCTTGATGCTGGCCCAGCGAGAGACGCTCCTAGCTGGAGACTTCGCGTCAAACTTGCAGTTATTGCAAGCGTATCCGCCGACGGACGTCCCGGAAATTTTAGCCCAGAGCGAGGCGCTACGCCTGTTTAGCGCCAGGGGTGACGCGGCTAGGGCTGGGGGGTTGGCAGAGCAAAGAGCGAAAGAAGCGGCGGACGGTGCCAAGCAAGCGGCGGAGCAGGTAAATGCGGCGGCGAGACGGTTTTGGAATGCGGCCTCGGATTTCGCAGCTGGCGCCGCAGAACGCGTTGCTGGTCTGAATGAAGGCGCCTATATGGCGGACAGCAGTGGAGGTGGAACCGCCGAGGCGCAGGGCTTGTTTTGATATGATACAGCAGCGATCAGACATGTACCCTTCGACAAATGTGTATAGGTTGCCGTGTGCACACGGCTGTTTCCCCAGTTGGTTTTTCTTCTTTCATTCTTCTTTGGTTTGCCATGCTGTTGATTTTTTAGTGTCTTGGTACGGTGATGGCGTAACGAAAACGGATAGAAAGAGGGTACTGCTGTACGACTCCTTCTCACTATATTTCCAGGTGCACGACACGAACGAACATGTATGTTGTGGAGAGATGGTGGGGCGGTGCTGCCTTGAGATCCATCCGTGCTTCACACATTTCATGCGATCTAAGTGTGGAAATTTCGGACAAGATTTATTGCTTTTTTCGAGATGGCGCCAACAGAGGTCACCATGCGCAGCGACCGGTACATCGTTTCACCCCACTATTTAGGGGAATGTTGGTGGTCTTAACATTGGTTTGCTTCCGCTCGACGACACGGCCGGTTCTCTGCCTGCCCCGTCTGATCCCTAACCACGTTTGATGCGGATAAGGCTCCCTGTAGCCTCTGCCACAACCATAATTTGTTCACGTGTCTCTCAACTACATCCGCCACATGGCTCCCTTGCTCCTCTTCGCACTGACTGCGCCACGGGGTCGCTCTGTCTCTTCGACTTCGAGTCAACACATCAAGGGACGACGATAGATGGTCCACGGTGTCGTCGACAGCACTCCGAAGCCTTCGCAGTCCCGCTGATGCCGAGACGTGCTCATCTCCACGTTCTCTCACGGCCCTACGGAGCACGGCCGTGACTACGGATCTCGGATCCAACCGCCGCGGCTTGTCAATTCCAGTACCCCTCTGCCGCAGCTGTTGCCCTGTAGTTGTGGGAGGAACGGCCTCGTGCGAGAGTGCTGAAGGGGTGGTCCTGCCAGAGGTATTATCCGCGGCAGGGATACCCTCCAAAGCCGCCAAGACTTGCTTCGTCCTTCTTGCTTTAGCCTCACGGTTCCTGATAGAACCTTGGAGAAGCAAAAAATTGTTAACTTCTACCCAGGAAGGTCGCGGACAACAGGAGTCTGCCGAATTTGCGCCTGCTGCCGTCGCATCATCAGCGTGCAAAGCGCGGAGCAGGGCGAGGTGCGTAGGGAGAAACAGCTGCGGCTCTTGAGGGCGCCCTCGTCTACGTTTGCGACGTGACCCGTCTCCTGGCTGCTGCATTGAACTGCTGTTCCTTGTGCGCATTGATTCGATTTTCTCCCCCTCCAGTTGGCCTCCCCCGACCCTCTCCTTGCCCCCTCCCTCCCGTGTCGAATCTGCTTGGGTTCAAAGAAAAGAGATACGTAGTATAGCTGCCTTCAGGTATGGTGACAACGCCAACATGGACACCTAAGGTTGAACCTGGTCGGACCTGGAGTCAAGAGGAAAATTAATTGACGCATAGTTCGGCCTCAGAGTTGCACAGGTACCATGCACATAGCTTGCGTATTGCGAATAGCGCACCGAGACGGCACCGATGCACGCACACCTGGGTACACCATTCGACAAGCCAGCCGAAACGTCGCCATCCTCGTGCCAAGGGCAAGACGTGAGCACCACCACTCGACGGGTGGAAGCATAGAAACACCGCTCGCCACCGACCACCGATACATCAACCAGCCCAAGTTGACCCGCCGTCGCGGGGGCTACGTTTGTTGCCAACCCGGTACAGTACGTAGTCCCGCGTTGCTTCAACAAGATACGGCATACGTTGAAAACGTCTTGTTTTATATCCATGCTGAACTCACCGTGGTGGTGCTGCTTGGTGACGAGTCAACAACGTTGGAATTCACAGAGTACATATAGCAACGGCATGCAGTGTTGCATCTATACGGCTCTGTGCGGGTGCATACGTCGAAGACATCTGCGGGGGTGGTGACAACCACGTGGAGCTCTGTGTCAACTCAACAACTTGCGATTAGCAGCAAATGGTCAATACATTCATTGTTTGCAGGTTGTACTCTGCTCTTTTCGGTCGAAGCAGGGGTAGGTATAGCAGAGAGCGATTGAAATCATGGCTGTCTTGGGACGAGATCGAGGTGTTGGTAAGTCCGATAGTGTTGTCCACTCGAATGGACTGACAACCGTTCTTTCTTGCGACAGAAAAGGTGAAGGGGACGACAGAAACGATAAAAGCCGAGTGGGCCGGCAGAAAATAGAAAATAGTTCGTGGTGGGTTCGGCGAATCAGCGTGAGAGTTCGGGGGTCAGTTCCTGAGCCAATCCCTTGCGGTACCGTTTTGTGTCACCGAACTCTCCCGGTAATGTATACTCGAGTATACCGTTTTCTGACGTTTGCCTGACGCACTTCCTCACTAGAAGCAGTTATTTCGTTCGTGACCTTCTATATATAGAGGCAGCCGTTTAGATAGAGGAGGTTAGCACGTATACACTTGCACGGATGTCAATGCTCCATCAACGACAAACATATATCCATAGCTGCGAAAGTCTTCATCGTGAACAGGTTTCGACAACAAAGGTACATCAGTGAAGCATCACCAGATGCTGTAGTATGTTGCATATAGTCCGAGTCGTAGTTCTGGAGTGTACTATGTGCACTTACTCCTGTTTTTTGGAGTTCAACAACAGCAGTGAATACAGGACAGCAACCAGGTTACATTTGGCGAAACTTTCTTGCAGCCCTTGTACAACGACGGCAGCTCAATAGATTCTACAGGGATCAGCCATATACCGTATATGACACAAGATAACACACCCCCTGGACCGATTTTCAAAGCTCGATTACTCCACGACGAAGAGGATGCATAAATGAAACAATACGTTTTCGAACAGCTCTCGACGAGACGGTTCCAACGCCGCCGTTTTCGGCGCTGTGACTCTTCCTGCTGTTGAGAAATCGAGCTTTGAAAATCGGCCAAGGGGGTGTGTTATCTTGTGTCATATACGGTAATCCATCTTCGCACTGCACAGTACTGCCGCATATTTGTATACTTATCTCGAATGGGTAGTCTTTCTGTGTGTGTTTTTATTATTCCTTAATACTTCAGCCAGAGTCTTGGAAAAAGTGTAGGGAGTCCGCGCGTTGTACTTTCACATTCTTCCAAATCTTCACCCACGGATTGCTGAAACGGACAGCAATCGCTGCCGGGTTCAAAATCGTTGCAAACTCACCCTCCATTGGAGTCTAGGGCCTTGTTCAGCGCGGCTGCCAAGTCACGTCAGAGGTGTGGTTGAGTGGTGGCAGGGCGAACAAGTGAAGTGGTAGGTTCTCCGGCGTGCTGTGGGGTATGGTGTTGGTTCGAAATTCGCCGCGGTGCCCCCAGTGTTGTTGCCGACGGCGACTCGACGGAGCAGCAGACAGAGAGCACCACCACACAAACACACCACGCTGCACGGCCTTGTAGCGCGAGGAACCAGAAGCAAGCATGGCTCCCATCGATGTCGTCTCCACCGAACAGCGCTGCTCCTTCAGCAAGCTCCAGGACGAGCGATTGGCGAGCCGATGCATCAAGCCAAGGGTTGTCCTGGCGAAGAGCGTGCACGTGATGGAGAGGGAGGCTCTCGGAGCCAGGGACCACCACGGTGAGAGCCGGGAAAAGGTCATGCACCCGCTGCCCTTCCATTCCTCGAGTCTTATGTTCCCATGCGGGTAGTTGTCTGACCGCCACTGCTGCTGTCGGTGGGGAGGTGCTAGCCGCGTGCATGCCTGTCTGTGGTTCACGTGTCGCGAAAGAACACACAGCAACCACTTGAAGGAGTGCGCATATAACACATGCACGTGTCGACGCCGCGTGTGCTGCCTCCTGGCCAAGGCCGGAGCTTACCAGCAGAGGGCAGGGTAGCATGAAAGAATTGCGACTAGATGGTACTGAAGGAACGGTTGTGTGCTCGTGTTGGTTGATCACGAGGCGCCAGGCAAAGCATCAGCTCTGGGTACAGAAGCGGTGCCTGCCGTGAGCTGGCAGTCCACTGGCAGTTGAAACTACGAAATTACCGGTCCATCGTTTTTGTTCGTTTTTCGATGAAAATGGACGGCTATCACAACACACCACCACACCTTCACTCCCCGCGGGCATGCGAAGAGTTGGAGGCGGTTGCAGCCCCAATCCCCCATGTGCGCAAACACGAGATGTCCTCCTTGACCTGTACCCACCCACCGCCCTCACCTGGTCTAAATCACCGCCGTTGTGTATCACTGATTTTGTCTTGTCACCACCCCAGACCGGATCAAGGCACTCTTTCCCAGCACCTACGGCCGGCCCCGGATCGAGCTGGTCCCGGGAGGAGAAGCGGACGTGTTCGACAAGCCCCTGAACATGGGTGTGGTCCTTAGCGGTGGACAGGCGCCCGGCGGCCACAACGTTATCGCCGGAGTCTTTGACTTCGCCAAGAAGTGTTCCCCTGATTCCAAGGTTTTCGGGTGAGAGAGAATCGACGAAGAACGTTTCAAGTGGAACGTTTTTTGAACATTTGATTTGTGCGTGCATAGGACTGCTGTAGACCTTTTCCGAGCCTGCTGTTGCGGCGCTCATGTTCGGGGACATGGGCACTTACATGGGCATATTGGAATTTGATGTGCATCCTGGCCGGTCCACTCCAGGCTGATACGATGCGAGGGTACAATCACCCGCCACAGCGGTAGTCACAGCAGTGTTGGGGGGCGATTCTGGGCATAGCTACTGCTTTTCTTGCATCACGCGTTCAGATGCTCTTGTTGCTGCTGCTCGTGTGCCGACCCATTTCAATGTGTTCGACTTCCGCCATGTGTCTAGCAGGGGTCACGGCGGTTATCGTTCGACAGGCGTTGCTAATATTGGTGTCTGCACATATTTTATAATGGGTTTTATGCATCGGCGTGCGTGCAGAACCTTGCCATAATTTTGATGGCCGAGGAAAAAATCAGATTAGCATTCTTCAATGTTGATTCGTGGTCCGAAGCATCATGTCGGTCCGTCGGCATCTCGGTGCCGGTTCAGGGTTGGTCGTGATGTCGCACGGGTAGCTTGACCTCGATAAGAATCACGCCACTGCTGCACGAGGAATGCTGTAAACATCGACCGTTGCCGTTTTGCTTTGTAACCAAAATATCACCCCCCCCCCCCCCTCGGGCCTCCGCTACACTATAGGTTCTTGAACGGACCTGCGGGTGTGATGAAGGGCATCTGCACGGAGATCACGCCCGAGTTGATGGACGCCTACAGGTGAGGCTGCCTTGAGGCATGGCCAACATGTCGGCGATGCCTTCGATGGTGTGTGTGGGATGAAAATCGACGCGGCACGTTCGTAGTCACACGCATACGTCGTGGAACCGTAAGCTAAAAAATAGCTGCGCAGTTTTGCGGCCATGTGAAGCTTCGTTCATGTACTCTTCGAGGCGACCCGATGCGCCGAGCTCCCCCACATATACTTTCAGTGCCTTATTCCTGTGTGACCGTGGCTGGTGTGTCCAAAAGATTTGCTGAAAAGGTGCTGAAACCGACGTTCAGAATTATTTGGGCACACACAACATGTTTGGCACACGTAGCTCGTCACATGGGGCGAGCACCATTTGTTTTTTTTTCGATGCTTGAGAGCTTGGTGGTTTGGTGGGACTTGCCTTGCTGGGCGTGCTTGAAGTGGTATCCGTAGTACCCATAAAAGGACAAGAGTCTGTGTGCGTCAGAGCCGTATTTCTTGTCTCCCAGCGTTCCCGGCCGAGCTCCCAAACGCTGCTGCCCTTAGCCAATCGCCGACAATCCCCCGGTTTGCTGCAACCTCTATCAGGAACACGGGAGGGTTTGACATGCTCGGGTCGGGGCGCGACAAGATCGAGACTAAGGAGCAGATGGAGGCCTCCAAGAAGGTAATGTAGCTATGCAAATCCCTTTACTACCTTGACACCTAGCGCTGAGACATGCTTAATTTTGTGCCATTTTTTGCCTTGTTATTTTCTGCTGCTCGTTCCGCCGCTGGCTGCCGAGGTTGAGTGGTGGGCACCATGGATGCCTTTGGAGTCTGTTGCCTCTGCCTCGTAGGTCTTGCATGGTCTGTCCCGCGGCCCAACCATTGACCAACATTGCAAGCGTCTTGACTTAGCTTTGTTTTTTTGGAATATTGTCGGAGCCTCTTTTTCCGTGTGGGCGGCTTCTTACTCTTGTTTTAACCGTTAGCTCTGTCTCTTACTTTGTGGTGTTTGTGTCTCCTGAACCAATACGCCTCCTTTCATGTCTGTCTGTAACGTCCATACGTCAGTCGGAGAATCCCTCCGACTGGACGCATCCATGTCTTTGTCATCAGTGAGGAGGAACTTCGGTTCATGATCTTATGGCCGACGGCTCTCCGCCCTCGCCCATCTCAGCTCACTTCCTTTCACTACCTCTGTCTCTGGTTCCACCAGACCTGTCCTACTGTCCACGTGATCCTCCACGTGCCCCCACATCCATTGTCGTCGCTCCATGTGAGGACAACTTGCTCGTCGCAAGAGTAGAGAGCTCATATCTCTAGACCAATACTTTCAGGGCATGTAAAGTTCCATCCGCCATGCTTCTGCCTGTCTGATCGTCGTCAGGTGGCTGAGGAGCTGAACCTCGATGGACTTATCGTGATCGGCGGAGACGACTCCAACACCAACGCTGCCATCCTCGCCGAGTACTTCGAGTCCAGCGGCTGCAAGACGAAGGTGTGGTTGCTTGCGTCGTTGTATGCATATGTGGATGCCGTTGGTCTGAAAATCTTTCAGTGTAGGTCGTTCAAGAGCACGCAGACCGCATGTTGAGAAATCCTCTTTGTCAGAGCGAGATGTGGTCGAGATCTCGCGATCATTCTGGCTCTCGCAGGGGCTGGGTGGGGACCGTAAAGGGTATTTGGGCGGGCGAAAGGGATTGAATTTGTTGTAGATTTACACCAGGCAACGCAACCGCCCGGTCTCGCTGTTTTCCGTCTCTGTCGTTGTCGTTGTTGGGGTTGTTTGTGGCGCTTTACTACTACTGCGGGGCGCTCAGGTTGTTGTTGTTGTTGTTGCTGCTATTCCTTGGTCCGTCTGACTAACCACGGCTCACGTTTTTTTGTGTGGCCTTGCTCGTGGTTCCTGGGTGCAGGTGAACGGCTGCCCCAAGACGATCGACGGTGACCTTAAGAACGAGTACGTGCCCATCAGCTTCGGTTTCGACACGGCGGCCAAGACGTTCAGGTGTGCACGTGTGTGGGCGTGTTTATTGAACATGCATCGACCACGCTGGCCGACGAAAAGCCGTCAGTGTCAGCGGGTAACGATCAAGTTCGAGGAATGGGCGTCGCAAAATGCTAAAATGCGTTTGTTCTTCGTCAACATGGACTGCACCTATCCAGCGTATCAGTCAAAAATGTCACTGACCTCGTCACCCTACGCTCGTTTTCCGTTGTGTTTCTTCGGTAGTTCTTGTCGGTGACTGTTGTCTGGTCATCTTGCTCGCTCCCAACAGGCTTTGGGAAGCATGAAGCAGCTGACATTCATCTTGTATTGTAGCGGCAACACCAATCCCTTCTTTATGCGTCACCATTGGGTAAACTTTCATGACCTTCGACCCGTGCGTCCGCGTGGGGCTCGTTGCTCTCGTGCCTGATTTGTGTGTGTGACCATCGTTTTCTTTTTCTATGGTGTGGCGTTTCTTACCGCCGATCTACAGCGAGGAGATCGGCAACGTGCAGCTCGATGCGCTGGCGTCCCAGAAGTACTACCACTTCATCCGCCTCATGGGAAGGGCGGCGTCCAACATCGCGCTCGAGTGCGCCCTGCAGACGCGGCCCAACGTGTGCCTCATCAGCGAGGAGGTCGAGGCCAAGGGCCTGTCCCTCAAGCAGGTGTGTCTTGTTCCAGGGCTTGCCTGCTGCCTCGTCGTCGTTGGGTCTCGGTTGTCTTAGAGTCTCGGTTGTCTTAGGGAGGCTTTTTTGGGACGATCGATGCTCGTGTAAATGTACGCGAGTGTGCGTATTGTAGTGAGTTTTCTTGTTGTCACTGGTTGGAGAGAAGCTTGCAGACAACGGTTGATGGATGGAGTTTTTTTGTAGTAGAGAGAGGCGAGGCTCTCTTGTTCCGCTCCTCCCTCCACCAACGAGATTTTTCGCCTGCGCTAGAATGGGAGCGCGTGCCTGTCGCTTTTGACCCGGGGCGTCCTCTTGCGCGCACGAGTAAACCCATGCGATCGCAATCTAACGAAACGCAGATCGTCGACGAGCTGGTGGAGATGATTCTCAAGCGCGCGGACGCCGGCAAGAACTACGGCGTCGTCATGCTGCCCGAGGGTCTCATCGAGTTCATCCCCGAGTTCAATGCCTTGATCAGCGACATCAACGACGTGCTGGCCAGCGGCATCCCCACCACCATCGGTGAGGAAGATGGATGTAGCGGGGTCACGTGGACTAAAATCCGGTGAATCCCGTCACAACCGTAGGAAGATTCGTGGTTTGTGTCACGAGTTTTAACAGCCGGGGGATCCTCGGATGGGACGCTCTTTGTTGTGGCGGTGCTTTTCGTGCCGTTGAGTGGTCCTTGGGAGGGGAAGGGGGGGGGGCAAGTTGGCGGAAGAAGAGAGATCAGGTGTGCGAGACGGAACAAGTCGGCAGGGGCAATCTTTCCTGTCGCCTTTGAGAATATCGTCTTTCTTGTCTTCGAAACTAAACGTGGGCATGCCCTACCCAGCCCCTGACGATGTATCTTGTGATCCGAGTGGGCTCCAACGTCATAAACTTTTTTTTTTTTTCTTCCTTGGTGCTGTTGTTGTTTTGCAGAGGGTGTGGTGCCCGCACTCCAGCCGGCCAACCGAAACGTGTTCAACTACCTGCCGCAGTCCATCAAGATGCAGGTACGGTATCCGCTGGGACCGGGTCGGGTACGGATTCTATATGGGACTGTACACTGTAGTACGTGCAGGAGTGGGGAGAGTGTCACGCTGGAGAGCGCCATCTTCTGTTCAGTTGCGTACGCGTGTATCCCTGCCGTCTTGTGAACGTGATCGATTTTCATCTCACCCCAGTTCGCGGCCGCTCGGAAAGCGTTACCACGCGCTTTGCGCATGTTTCCGATCGGATATCCTCTATCTTACCTGGTACGTGTGTGTGGGTCAATGCGTCACGTCGTGTTGCTGTGAACCTGTTATGGCCAGCTGCTATTTTGTGCGTCTGCGTGGGTCCCCAACGCGCCTACGTACCTGTTGACCGTTCTTCCCCCCCCCCTTCCTGTTGCACTCTACCCGCCACCCTACGACGTGCCGCTGCTGTTTGGGTGGGCGTCTCGCTTCCTCGTGTTTCCGATCTCTCCTTAGCTCCTGCTGGATCGCGACCCGCACGGCAACGTCCAAGTGGCCAAGATCGAGACGGAGGTGCTGTTGGCGCAGGCCGTGGAGGCGGAATTGGAGAAGCTCGCTGCTGAGGGTGAGCTTGAGCAGAATAAATAAATTAACTCAAGGTAGTTCCGGCTTAACGGCCGTGGCTGCGCGGCTGATACCATGCGCGAGAGAATTGTGCTCGTCAAGCTTTTTGGGGACTCTCTTACTCACTATTTTCTATTTTCTTCATACTGAAGTTGTTTGTTTCCTTCCACCCCTTAACGACAAGAGAGCAAAACAAACACCAACAAAACAGAGAGGCCAAAGAAACGTGCGACAGAAACGACACAAGGACAAGAAAGGACAAATCCTCGAGTCGCTAAGCTGCCGTCGGTATTATTCGCCCTCGTTGTATTTTGAGAAGCGCTCATACGCACCTCTTGCGACCCGTTCTCCCGCCGGATTGCCGTGTGACGCGACCATTGCTCAACCCCCAGGCAAGTACGCCGCCAAGTTCGCTCCTCAGTTCCACTCCTTCGGCTATGAGGGCCGCTGCGCCCTCCCCAGCCACTTCGACTGCAGCTACTGCTACGCGCTGGGGTACACCGCTGGTGAGTCTGGGAGCTTGTTGGTGGTGGTAGCGTCGTACTTATTTTAACGAATGCCGTAGTCGTGGGACCATTGACGCTCGCATGAGTCCCTTCAAATGGCGGGACGGAGCGAGGGGGGTGGGAGAGAGAAGCAGAGGAAGGGAAGCTGAAAGGGAGGTCAGGTGTGTATCGTGCAGCCGTCCTTGTAGAGCTCGCGTGCCGCTGCTTCCGGGTCCCGAGATGGCCAGCCAGGGAACGAGAGAAAAGGGGAGGAAGATGAGACCAGGACTAGATTCTGCTGTTGGAAGAAGATAAGGCAGACTTTCTAAACACATGTATGGATGGAGATGACCCAGGAAAGAGAAAGAGAGGAAGATGGAACCAGGAGTAGATTCTGCTGTAGGAGGAAGATAGAGAACAGTTTCTGGACAGACGGAGAGAGACAAGTTTTGGTGGGTACTTGATCCCTGCCCCGTCAACCGAGTCCCGATGACATTGTCGCTCCATTCAAACGCCTGCTTGCTTTCATCTCTTGCCTCGTTGTGCCGGGCACTTGGCTGCGACGCACCAGGCGCGCTGACGTCCAAGGGGATGAACGCCCTCATGGCCTGCGCCAACAACCTGGACATGCCCATCGAGGACTGGACCGTGGGCGGAGTGCCTATCACGATGATGTGCCACATGGAGAGGCGAAAGGTAAAAGCGCGCATGTTTCACGAGTTCCTGAGAGCTGCTGCTGTTGCTGCTGTTGTTTCGTGATGTTATTCTTTTCCACCACATGTGTCAAGTCTGTCTGATGTACATGGCCTGTCGGGATTAAACGGTTTTGTTCACATGGCCTACGAGTTGATCGCGAAATATACGTGCAGATAGATCACATGTGGATAGATGTACGTACTTTGCAACATTGTCACTGCTACAGTATACGTACACGGAGCAACATTTACCCAGTAGCGTGCGTGCGTGCGTGAGTGTCGGCGCATGTCATGCACGCAAGGTGCCTCGCTTTCGAATTTGGGGGGGGGGGGAGGGTCGGGAGGGTCGGGGAAAGGTTGGTTGGTTTTTGTTCGTTCGATCTCCTCCCGCCGCTGACGGAAGTGTTGGTCCATCTGCTTGTGTTTCGCTTGACGAACGTTTTCCCAGGGCAAGGACAAGCCGGTGATCATGAAGGCTCTGGTCGAGCTCGACGGGCCTCGGTCTCAGCCTTTCCAGGCCTTCGCGGCGGAGCGTGAGAAGTGGATGGAGCACGACATGTACCGCGCGCCGGGTGCGTGTCACTTTTTTCTGGACAGTAAAAGATACATTTCATCACAAAAGACTAACTGCCCGTTCCAGATACAAGGAAAGTCGAAGGGGATGAGTTGGGTGTCTCAGTCTTTGCAGTGAATAAACCGGCTGGATACAGGGCTTGTTTTGAGCCATTTTTTTGCCAATACAATAAATCATACAAATTATTTTTACTCAGTGATGGCCATTTGTTTGGCGGTGCCGTTTGAGAGACATCGAGAAGGCGGTAGGGTGAGGCTTGTAGAGCTGTGGGTGCAGTTGTTTTGCCGCGGTCTCGAGACGTTGAGTCGATCCTAACGATGAGGTCGATCCTTGTCCTTCCAGCGCGCGCTTGAGTCGAAAGTATGGCATGGTAGTGTGTCGAACGGATCCCTGTCGGGTGATCTATCTATCCCAAGGACCCTTCGTCTTGATCGAAGCGACCCCCTTTTGTGCATTTCGTTTGTGTTGACCACCGCACACGCGTCTTGCAGTCTTGAAGGTTGGAGAACACCTCATACTCCTCTTTTTGACCCACTATGCCGGGACGTAATGAGTGCTTTGCATGACCCCACCGCCTGATTTCGTTTTTTTGTTTCGTGTTTCGGCGGGAGCAGGAGCCATCCAGTTCTACAGCGAGGGCGCCCGTAACGCGAACATGACCCTGATGTACGAGCTGCTAGGGGAAAAGGCGAAGGTGAGACTAGGTCCCTGAGTAGTAGTACTGTACAAGCTGGTGGTATGTTATTCCCCACGGCGTGACCGTTTTTTGTTTTTTGTTGTTAATAGTGGGAAATCGCTTGGTTCAATCACTGGTGCATTTGTGATGGTTGTGCAAGAATTAACTCGGTCTAGTCTTGGTGCGGTCGGTTGGGTTTTGGCCTCTGATGTGATTTGACAGACCCGTGAAGCAGAGCACGCACATCAAGCGGGGTTATCATGTTGTAGAGGCAAGTAACCCTAGCCTTTCGTCCCCCCCACCCCCTCTTTCTGTTCCTCTCTCTCTCTGTTTCTCCCTTTGTCTCTCTCTCCCGATCTCCCAATCTCAATCGCTATCTTTATCTCAATCTCCGTCTCACTTTTACTTTGTACTTTGTACCAGGCGCTGACCCAGTGCGACCTCTCCGAGACCGCCGCCCCGGAGCCGGTGGCCATGGGTGCGAGCAAGTTCTTGTTCCGTCCGGCCACGAAAGCGACCCGCAGCCATGTCGAGCGCGCCCGTCTCGACTACGAGCCTAAGGTGCAGCATCTACTATGTTTGTTGATTTTGTATGCTGTTGGGTTGGATGTGTGCGCCTTGCGCGTTGGATTTTTTGCCGTTTGTGTGGGGTAATTGTCGTGGTACCGTATCTCTATGTTCCGTGTAGCTGCTGCATGTTGTTTCTTTTGAGCCCGTGGTTGTGGTTGGGGAGTACAAAGTAGAGCAGGTTCTACTGTATTGCAAACGTGACACCAGTGTTTTTCGGAAAATGGTGTTTGGGGCACTGCTGCATACGGCGGGTGCATCGCACGTGGAAGAGAATGAAGGGGGGGGGCGTGAAACATCTGTGGCGGATCGATCCGAAGCCAGTGTGGAGCTTTCTCCCACGGGGTAAACGTGAAATGTTTACCGCTATTGTAATGAGTGTTTTCGAAACAGAAAACAGCGGCAACAGAAAGAGGTACAACCACACGCGGCGGCAGTGCTGGTTATTTGTGCAGAGGCTAGCCAATTGTGTTGGTGCTTCCTCGTGCTTGTGTCTACAACAGTATCCACCAGCATGATTTTTTTCATTTTGTGCCAAGCGGCAGCCGGGACTGGGGGAGGGAACACTGCAGGTTCCCATTCCTGACGACAGCAACTCGCCGCAAGCATTGAATGAACCTTCATGGAAGCCCGAATCGTTTGAAGGGAGTGCGCTGGGCGCCGCTAAAATACGTTCCTCTTCCTCCCCTCCCTCGCCTCGGCACGCTTTCTTTTTCTTGTGGCCCTTAAGGTGCCCGGCTGCTTGAAGTCGAGGTCGCTCGAGGGAGTCGAGCTTGAGGCAGACGAGCGGTCGCAAAGCAGCAAGCAGGCGGACCGCGGGCCTCTGGAGCGCATGTTCCCGAGCACGTACGGCGCCAGGCTGTTGCAGGTGAGACGGGGTGCGAAGGAGGATGCGGAGGAAGACTAGAGAAAGGCACACGGGAACGGAGCCATAAGCCATAAACAGCAGCAGCTCTGGCAATTAGCATGGGAGTATAGCACTGAAATTATGACGAGAGAATAACGGGCGAGAGCGGTGGTACTGTGCAGCCAAGGGGTAAATTATGTTTTGGCCTGGTGTTGTCGCTACAGCCGTGTGCGCCCTGTTCCAGGTAGGAAATGGTACTTTACCATGAACGATGATAGGGTGCTCGAAGTTATCCGAGGTTTTTATAGCTTCAAGAACTGCCACGTGTAAGGACATGGGCCATAAACGAGAAGAACGGTGTGTCAATGCCAAGCGCTCGGCGATTTGCTTTCCTTGCTTCGCGACCGTGGCGCTTGAAGCACTTTTTGAAACCTGTGTTTGCGTACATCGTCGATGGCCTGTGCGTTCGGTATGGCTTTCACACACCGGGTGGCCCTGCGCGCTTTCCCTCGTCGTTCTGCTTGGTTCAGGTCACCACCAAG